CACGCGGAGATCACGTTTGATTATTAGTTTGTTTTTTCGTTTTAGCTGCTTTTTCTGCCCCATGTTCACAGGTGCTCCGCCTACGTCTGATTTTTTTCTACCTTTGCAGCAGCTAATCATCAGAAGACTGCACGCGTATTTCCTCGTTTTTACCTTTGTTTACAAGACCTGTGCTGGCAAATGGTATGGGGGCAGTAATTAATTTCAGTTTACTTTAATAGGTAATTGCACTACCGAGCATCAGGATAAAAGTAGAAAAGTTATAGATTCACAGGACTTGAGAGTTGTGTGTGGAATGCGGGAGCGAACCAGGAAAAGAAACATTCGCTCTCACCGGGGGCTAAATCTAAAGCACGGTCCCTTCTCAACAGTTTTTGACCGATCAGATAGACGCGCATTCTCTTTTATAAATAAAAAGAGAGTGTGTGTAAAATAAAGGAGATACCTATCAGAGAGTGCCATCTCTGCAATGACTCGTAATTACGCATTGACAGGATGTTCCGACCGATATTTAGTGACACAGCACCAGCCGCAGAAAACTGTGGAAGTTTTCTTTTTACAAACCCATCTTCTTAAGTCATGGTCTTGCAGTCTTGACTTTACCACGTGAAGAAAACTCCGGTCCACACACACACCGAGACGGGTTTATCTTTTTGACTCAACACCGCCCGGCTAGCTCAGTCGGTAGAGCATGAGACTCTTAATCTCAGGGTCGTGGGTTCGAGCCCCACGTTGGGCGAGTCCTGTTTTTTGGCAACTTCCTCACATGTGAAGTCTTTGCACGCATCCAAGAGTTAGCTCAACCCACTACAACTTCCAAGCTAGCAAGACTTATCTGTTCATTCTAGCATTAACAGCTCCATTAATATGCGGCACACACGTACCACATGTTCACAGCATCTAGTAAAGACAGGCGTAATTATGATAACAATGAACTAAAACACAATCAGGAACTTCAGGGTGGATAAAGATAGACAGATATAATTAGTGTTGGAAAAGAAATGACACCGACCTCTCCCACAGGGGAATTGAAGAAAAGGGAGTGGCCAACCGGGTAGCCCAAATTTATAGCGTTGCACCAAAGCAGAAGAAAGGGATGAGGAGGAGCACTAAATGATAATAAAGATAACTACAGGCTCTGTGGTCCTACAGGTCATGTATACCAGCAACAGTTTGGGGTTTATAACACATTTTGTGTAATTATAACAATATGTAATTTATGACCCGGCTACACCAGGTCATTTTAAGAGCGTCACATTTGACGTTGGCTCACTGTCTCCAGCAACTGCTGATAGCTAAACTTTCTTAACACGTTAGTTGTGCTGCTCTGCTCACTTTTGTTTCGAGATTTCTTAACGCCCCCCCTCCCCCCCTCAGAGTTTGCTCCCCGTCTTTTTTGATACAGCGAATGTCATTGTGATTGTTTGTAAGGCGAGAAACGGAGTCTCGGAGTCTCTTCAAAAGCAACCGAATTAGTTGCATCACATATTATGTCTAATTCAGTCTTGAGTCTTTAGTCATCAAACCTGAGGCCAAGCAGTAGCGGTTTTAGATACGGGCGACACGGGCGGTTGCCCGGGGCGGCATCGTGGTGGGGGGCGGCATCAC